TGTTCTTAAACTACATTGTACATTTGTGTCTCATATTAAGTTTGTTATAAATGTATAAAAATGGCATCATATGGTATATATTACTTCCTTTATAGCAGATAAAATGAACTATATCTACAGGTATTACTATGAATAAATCACATATCACCATTTTAATTACTTTAATAATTATTTATTCAATATCCACATCCTCTTCTAGATTGTAAACACCATAAGCTGGATCATACTTGTCTCTTTTACCACTGCATATCCCAAACACCTTGCAGTTTCTGGCACATTATAAGCAAGAAATAAATACTGGATAAATGAAGAACTAATCATTGAACAATGTTATCTAATTTAGATAGAATCTGAACTACTCCATTAAATTAAATTGGCTAAATATCTTGACCTCATTCTGTATGTATGCTGTTTAAACAAAAATGAAGTGGTGAGAAGGGGATATTAACCCCTTTTGGTTTTTATTTAGTAGAAAGAAACCTTAAATAAAAGAAAATAAAATAAGCTTTAAAAGTTAAGCATTTTCATTTATATAAAGAGATCTGGCCTTGGACACTGGTGGGGAACTTATACTATCAGAAATAAAGAGGAAGAAACAAGAGGAAAACAAATTTCCTGCTACAAAGAAAAACAAAAATTGTTTGGTAACAAAGTAAAATAGGAATTGAGAATACTGAAACAGAAACCAGAAGGGTTCTGGCCTTCAGCCAACTTCCCAATAGCCACTAAGGTGGGAAGGCAACTTCTTAAAAGGAATGAGCTATTTGACTACTCTTCTACCACATATTATCACAAAAGAAATATTGGAAGGAAAGGAGAGCAATATAAATGAAGAGTGAGTACATTTGCAACAGGAATTTGTCCAGTAAGGGCACTGGGGTGCAGCTGTTATTTTTTAGATATATTTAACTGCATAACTGTATTTCTTCATAGTCCAGCATACATGGCACATCCCTGTGCTGTAGTTTTACTTATGTTTACCGTTAAGTCATTCAACTCAAAATCAAACATTACAAGGATAACCATACATGTTTCCAGGAGAGGATAGAAAATTTCATCTTTTCATCACTGAACTGAATCATTCAAATTTTGCTGGTTTACAAAAACTTATCCTAAAAACAAGTACAGAATTGTACAAAAATACCTTCAGTTTTGGATAATAAATTACAGACCATAACCAAAAACTGTTGTGTATAAATGAACACTCCTGTTTTTAGCTCTATGAGAAGTTATAAGGAGTCAGGGTTTATAAAGATTTAATAAATTGAGAGTAGCTGACAGACACTTAGAGGAGGCAAACGACAGGATTTTTAAATGCATTTTGTATAATAAGTCTTAGGAGTTACAATAAACTTCAGCTTTTAGTCTAACATATCTAGTGTTTTGGGAATATACAAGAAAAAAATTTAAGTAATGAAAACAACTTTGATGCACTTCGTTCTACAAGTTAAGCTAAGGAATGATTTTAATGGTAGGATTTAGGGCTTTTTACCTTCTACAGTCAAGTCATATTGGAGTTAATTTTCTACCTAGATCAACACTTTAGAACATAAATCTGATCATGTCCAATGATATCTGATCGTACATACTGAAAACCCTTCCCAATGGTTTCCCTTCACACTTATTTTTTCTGTAGGTAAAAGAATCTTGGGATAAAATAATTTGTTTCTACGAGTGAAACAAAAACATGAATATATTAAAATTATAGGATACTGGTGATATGGAATATAGACAATGACCACGTTATATAACTGTTGTCGTAAAAAAATGAACTCACCACAGAATAACCTTGTTTAATATGAAATTTCCTGAGTTCTTGGTCTATCAAGGCAATTTAAAATTACTGCTACTATCCTTTAATTTTCATGGAATATTCCAATTTTATTAACAAGGAGACACAATAAGAATGGGAAATTGTATGGTCTATGGTCAAGAGGATAGGCTCGGGAATCAAAACTGCCGGGGGTTCAAGTCCTGGTACTGTACACTTAAAAGCTGTATGACCTTAGGGAATTTACATAATCAACCTGAATCTACAGAGATAATAAAATAGTACCTACCTTCGTAATTTTTTTGAGGATTAAAGAATTCTCAAAATATGCTTTGCACTGAAGAATGATCCATATTAAGTCCAATTAATATAATTGATCCTAAAACAGTGCAATTCAAATTTTCATGTAAGTTGCTGCTGGTGGTGTATCGTGTATGTCTTTTTGCTAAAGTTGACTAAAACTGCTGACATTGGAAGCAAAAGGGGAAATATAAAGAAAACCACAGGATCGTCCATTTTAGCAAACTGGAAAGCTTGAGCTACTCTAGTCCAAACTGCACTCACTCAAGTTAGCTGGGTTTAGGCCCATCCCTTTGAGAATTGATCACTGTATACTCAGTTTTAGTCTGCACACTGCTCAGCTTCCTGTGATAAGGGACTGTAAAGAAACTTTAGGTTTCCAAGGTCTTTGGTACAGGCAATAGGCATGGATGGGACACTCTTTTCCATTTTAAATCACAGCCAATTTTAGGTATGTACAGTCTTTTCAGATACCGTCAGGTCCTTAAACCTGTGATTAAGATTGTTTATGAATTAACTGTTATGGTTTACTATCCTATGTCAAGATGAATGAGAAGCATCTTAATAAATATGGTACATCATCCTGAAGCCAAATGTACTCAGAGACTCTGGAAAAGGAAGCTTAGTCACAGAAGTAGTAAATACTATGTCTTTTAAAATATCAAGAAGGTATTAAGAGGTAAAACAAAATTCACGCAGATTTTCAAAGGTACAAAACAGGACTCTAAAGTTCATGCTTATAGAATATCACACCTGGCTACCCACCCAGATCCTATGCCCATCCACCCAACACTCACTGAAGCTACTTACATCTGACAAGCACTAGGTTAACTGGAAGTTTCAATCGATTAAGAAATTCTGCAGAAGATTCCAAATTCTTAAATAATGACACAATTATGCACCCCTCCCCAATGGTACTGAAAAAAACTACAGAACACAGTATACAAATAATGCAGCAGCTTTCTATCCAGAACCCCTTAGTACAAGGTAAATGTATAAATTCATGAGTAAGTAAACCATTATATGACAAAGCCCAATGTGTAAACAACAGTGCTGATCCTGTGACAGACAATTATGGTTGATTTAAAATCGAGCAACAAATTGAATTAAAACCAAAGCTTCGCAAAGTTTTATTACTTAGCTAAAAACACAGCAACAAACTAATTTTCTTTCTCCTTCAGGTAAAAAAAAAAAGTCATACATTCTCTAAGTTCTGTTGAAATAGCACCTTTTAATTGAAAAACTTCACAAACTGGTAACAGAAAGTTATGCTCTATTTCTCATCCTCCTTAAAATCATTCTCTGTAAGTGTCTCTTTCAGGTAAAAAAAGAGACCTTAAGGCAGGGATCTTTTATTGGCATGATTAGAGAGGGTGAATAGTATTAGTCACCACAGGATTT